GCATTTTTTAATGGTTCAAAACAAAAGTATTCCATCAAGTATTATGTAACAATTGCGAAAAATACCAAACGCCATACACTACCAAATGATTGAATATTATGTATACATGAACCATAATCTTGAAAATTTAATATATTCGTGTACTCTGGTAAGAAGATGTTAAACTTGTCTTGGGATTTCCAAACTTGAGCTCGAAAGAGGAATTAAAAAATAGAGCCCAGCTCCAAAATAATATGTGGTTATAAAACTTGTAACATAATTCTGAATGCAGAAGTTAATTTGGAGTGTTCCCCCACCCAGCCCCCAAATAAATACGTCTATGACCTTTCCTGGCTTGCAATGGAACAGAACTGTAGCATCAGGGAGATGGGCTTCCACAATATTTTCAAAAAAGAAATTACTATTGAAAATGTTCATTATACATTGCACGGTTGCCTCCCACTTCCTTAATTTTTGTTGCATTATACTCTAGCCACATACAGTATATTGAGAAGTAAATGAATAATTTTTCATAATTAGACAGGAACTTATTTTGAACATCTTTTCAGGGTCAGTTGATTTTCCTTTCCTGACCCACCCCCCATTCCACTTAAACAAACGATTCATATCGGGTTCCAATAAATGTTCAATCAAGCCTCTTTCTTTACCCCTCACTAAAATATAAACGGCATCCAGATATAAAACAGATATGCTCAGATTTGAATTGTGGTATCTTTTACCTCAGTCTCACTGGGATATATCGTATCGACATGGAAATTACTATTGTTAATTGACCATACGTCGTCAATATATCTAAATGTCGGGTTTAAGGCCACAGCAAGTCTTTTCTTCTTTTCATGTATAAGACTGTGCTCAAATTCTTCTTCATATGAATGCAAAAATAGGTCTGCTTACAACGGGGCCCAATTAAAACCCACGGCAATTCCAATAGATTATTAGAAGACTTGGTCTCCATATAGATTTTGTCAATAAGAAACTCAAGCATCTTTTTGATGTCAACTTCAGAGTACCTGTTTGTACAATCAGACTGTTTTTAACAAATAGTTTTGCAAATGACCAATGAGAAGGTAAGTTATTTCATGAGTTCCATTTTTTATCGAAAAAAGCAGCTGTCAATGACATCAAAAAGTCTAGGTTTTAATTTATCGTGAGAAAAATTTGTATAAAAATTTTTAAAGTGTAAAGTTTTTATGCTGTTAATTTGTAAAATTTCGTGATTTCAAATATTCCAAAATTTCCTAGGATTTTTCTAGTATCCATATCTGATTTACACCACTTCTCAAATATAATTTTTACAGTACTCTTAAAGTTTCTCCTTCACTACTGTTTATATCTTCTTGACGAGTAAAGAAAGAGGCTTAGTAGAACATTTTCCTAGAACCCGCTATATGCCTTCAACATAATATGGATTTGCGGGGCTGATACCGATCAATATCACACCCCTGGTAAATTAAACCTGAAAAAGTATTTATTATTATACACATATTTTTTGAGGTGGGTTACATATTCTCTTAAGACACGTTCCTAAAATATATCTTTTGCATCTCTTGATATTATATTAAAAAAAATACAGCATATTTGTCACTGTCTTGTGATTTCTGCATTGTTTTCAATATGTTTTTAAATATAAGTACACCAGAAATTGAGATATACGCCATTCAGATGATTACTCATATGGGATATAAAAGAAATATGACCTTGTGGTATCTTGTCCAAATACCTGGTAAGGTACCCTAATCTTTTGTGAGGAAAGTTGTTTTAGTACCTAGACTTCAATGGCAAATTCTTGGGAAAAGTTATACATGTATATTTTTGAGGAACTTTTTGAGTGTAGGGATAATCTAATTGACAGATAAAAGATTATTTTCAAATAACGGATGGGATGGTACACATTTGAAATAGAAGTAAAAACAAACCCAAACCGTATGAGACAATAGACCGTATATATGTAAGAAGTCCGTGCATGATTATTTACTTATTTTCTTCTAAACTAAATATGTACTGTATTTTATTACTAAGAATGTACATGTAATAAACAAACATAATTCAATATACCGTCTTTCACATCTCATGCTGCATCAGCCCTCGACCAGCTTCGGCCCTCTTGCTGATATCGGTGTCTCGGGCTGATACAGGATGTGATATGGAAAAGGTATGTATTATTCTCTATGTAATTTCCATTCTTATGTCGATACGATATATCCTGATGAGCTTGAGATAAAAGAGTCTGACACATCTGTTTCATATTTGGATATTTAACTTGAAAAGACGTCAGTGGTAATCTAACAACCAAGCTCTATGACAAACGTGATGACTTAACTTTTCAACAGTCAACTTCCCTTACTTATGCAGCAATCTACCTTCATCACCTGCATACGGACTTTATATATTTCAGTTGAATCGATTTGCAAGAGCATGCTCTTCGTATGAACAATTTCTAAAACGAGGTAAATCATTTACAAACAAGTTGATGAAAAAGAATCAACAGTCTCGTTTTATGTCATCATTTCGTAAGTTCTATGGTAGATACAATGTCAGCAAATATAATTTATCCTTGATTCAAATGCTGACTGACGTTTTGTATTGTTTTATGCACTTTCGATCTTAAAAACTGTTCGTTATCTCCATATGTTTCATTGTACTGATTTTATGAATCCTCGTAAACCAATATTGATATGGTAATTCAAATTCATTTTGTTGTTTGATATATCAAATATATTCAAAACTGACATATGATTTTGAAGAATGTCCTCCACATGTAAAGTGTTATGAATGTAGGTTGGATTACCACTAGTAGAATGAAATCCAAGTTTCCTCTAAAATACATTTTATGTCACATTAAATGTGATGAAGACCCTAAAAAATGTAATTTACATAAGGTAGTTACTCATCAAAAGATACATATTGTATCAAAGATTAGTAATACTATTTTGTAAACTATAAAGTCTCAGATAAATCTGATCATTTTTCTATAGCATAAATCAGATGCTACATGTTTATACGTGTGTTAAAACTTACAAAATAAATCTTGAAAATTTTGACAATCGTACTAGTTTCAATTTTACTCTTTATAGTATTAAAATTTCACATTTTATTTTATTTTGATTAAAAGCATAATAATAATACCCGGTATTAAAATGATACAATTAACAAGCAATTGAATATATTGTAATGTAGAAAACAATCTGAAAATTAAGAGTATTCACCAATTTCACAAATTTATTTCACAACCATTACTTTTACAAAGAAGTATTTTAACTTACCAATCTATTTGCTATAAAGTGATTGCTGAAGTAAGTAATTTTACTTAAATAATTATAATAAACAGCCTTTTTTATATAGGCCTTAATATTGGACTTCCCTTTATGTACTTAGTTAGTTAAATCTAAAATCAATGACTATCGATCTTGAGATGATCCAGAAAGATCGCATTGGCAGAAGATGGATGTAATTTTACTCACTTAATTTCAAGCCTCGGTTAAAAATAATATTTATTTTCATTAAAGACATTTTGACTATCCGTGTAAAACTGAAGATAACTAAATCGATTGATCTCCAAAACCCATACGTGTATTAATTGTGAAAAGAGCTTTCAGCTGGAATAAACATTTTTGACCTTGACCTAAGAGTTTGACCCACTTTTTGAAAACTAACCTTAGTCGTAATTTCAAAAAAGTTATAACTAGAACTTTCATATTTTGCAGATGTGTTCCTTGTAACAAGACCTTCCTTTGGGTGCAAGCACTTTTGGCCATTTTACTTTGACCTTTAATTTGGAATTTGACATTTGAGAGAATTCAACCCTTGCTATAAGCTGCCATGCAAGGGCATCAGTGTTTCACTACAACATTTTGTTAGTTTATGCCTTATAATTTAATATCCTATCTTCATCATGTTCATGTAATAAAAACATTTATCTCTACTTATTTCCTTTAAATTGTACATATTACGTCAAAGGGATGGAAATAGCCATCGTGACAAAGGCAACGCTGATTATACGATATACTAACTCATTATGTTATTTTTTAAGGTTTCTTTTTTTCATCTTTCTTTGTATATAAAAATACGATATTTGATTAGGTAATTTTATTTTATTTCATTTCATATACTGTAAAACTGCTATAAAACTACCAATTGGAACTTTTAGAATTCAAGCGCAACTATCACAGAGTAGAGTACAAATGATATTGTCACGCAATACAATATGTTTAGATAGATTGATTGATTGTGTATTGTTTTACATGCTTAACGTTCCTCTCGCATGGAGACGTCACCACTTGCCGGTGGAAAGCTGCAAATTTTGTTCTTTTCTCGGCACTAAGGGCCAATGAGCACGGAGGGTTTTTTTTGTGCCTGCACCTACTGCGACACAGGACCTCGGTTTCTACAGGACCGATCACCACGTCACACAGTGTGATTCGGACCCGCGACATAAGGATCAACTCCTTACATCGCAACTCTAGAGCAGACGCTCTAACCACTTTGCCACGCACGCGACTGTTTTAAATAGAATATGATTCTTTACACAAATTTATAAAAAAAAATTATAAAACGTACATTTGATTCATTAAAACGTTGCACATGGTATATGACATAGTACATATAAATAAATATATAATTTAATTCAGTGTCAGATTATTATTTGGATGGTTATTTTCCCTAATTAACACCAGATTTATGAAGACATTCTAGCGACGTGCTTCTTCTGTTCTCATTATCTCCAATACGCAAAATATGTCATCGTAATCTAGAAACAAATCTAGAAATTATCCCTTGAATTCTTTGTTATAAGCGTCATCAAGCGAATACAGTTACACAAAGTTGATCCTTATTTCTGAAATTTTATCATTGTATTAAAAGTTTATCGCCAGTATTTCAGGCAAAAAATAGTCTTTGTCCCCGCGTTTTTATATTTTCATGTGCTTTGTTTCTTTTCCAAGTATATGTCACGTGATGTTTATGAATGTATTAGTTCTATAGCTAGTCTGTCATTCTTCGACATGCAGTTGACCAGTGTGGCCGTACACGCGCGTCTAAACTGTACTTTGGATTTAGGGGATTTGGCTAATGCTCTGATGAACGTTCGGTACGACCCGGCCAGGTTCAGTGGTCTGATCTGGCAACACGGACGTTTAGGAGGCAATTGCCTACTGTTTGTCAATGGTAAAATCAATTGTAGCGGGAAATGTGGGTCCATCCGAGAAAGTGTACGGCGATTGAGAGGTTATGCACGTCTCCTCCAAAGAAAGGGATGTCCCGTGACGTTGACTTACGTCCAAGTACTGACCATTTCCGCCAACAATCACTTAGAGGATCGGGTGATGCTGGATTGCATTCCATTCGACTATCGGTATGACCCCGAACTCTTTCCCGCCGTCATGTTCAATCGCGAACGAATTCATTTTACGTTGAAGTTTCGGGTGCTCTGATCATCACGGGCATCAAACGTAAGGAGGATCTCGAAAACGTGGTGTATCCCACGATCTTGGAATTGGGCGTTTGTTTATAAGAAGGTCTTACGAGAGTGAGAGAGAAGATGAATTTTTTTGAAAAAAGTAAATGATTTACAAAGATTACTTGAAAGCCGTGTACAGTTGTATTACCATCCCGGTCACCTGGGATCGTTCGGTGGAGTGGAGAATTTGTATCGGTATGTAAGAAAAGAGGGAAAATTCGTTCTGGGTCACGCCAAGATTCGCAAGTGGTTATAAAAGCAAGAGACGTTATACCTTACACCAGAACGTACGAAAGAAATTTAGAAGTCAACGCGTTGTCGTTCTTTATATCATTTATTAATGGGACGCAGACACGGCCGTCATGACGTCCTACACAAAAGACAACGACGGATACGGAATTTTCCTTCTAGTCATCGACGTGTTTTCTCGGTTCGTGTGGACCGTTCCCCTTCGATCGACTCTGGCCGCCGACATGGTAACGGCATTGAAATCGGTCTTGAATAAAGGCAGGGCTCCTGAGAAACTTCGCACGGACAAGGGCGTCGAATTTAAGAACAGACAAGTCCAGAAAGTAATGCAGGAGCAACACATTGACCATTTCTTTACTCAAAACGAAAGCAAAGCTAATAATGCGGAACGGGACATCAAGAATCTCAAGTTGTGTCTCGGTCGTTATTGCAGTCGTCACCAGAGTCGTCAGTGGATCTACGTGCTCAGTGACGTCACGAAAAGTTACAACGGTTCGTTTCATCGCAGTCTCAAGCGAGCTCCAGGCCAAGTAAAAATAAGAAACGAACAGGAATTGTGGACACTGCCTCATCCTAAGGGTAGTCCGGCGACTCGGTACGAATTCAAAGTGGGTGACGAGGTGCGCATATTACACTTACAGCGTCCCTTTCAACAAGAATACGACGAGCGTTGGAGGTACGAGTACTTTGTAGTGTCTTCGCGGGGTATGAAACAAGGCTTTCCTTACTATACCCTGAAGGATCTACGAGAGGAACCCTTGACCGGTTACTTTTACAGCTGGGAACTTACGAGAGTCGTCGTCACAGAGGAGATCATCTATCGCGTCGAACAGATATTGAAGAAAGAGAGATACCGAGTGTTGTCAAATGGTGGGGCTGGCCCAAAACATTTAACAGCTGGGTTCCTAGAGAAGATCTGCAGTTATACGGTTCAAAAGCATAAGAGGACGTTCTTACTGACCCTCCTTGCAAGATGCATCACCTGTTTCTGAGTAATCTCGATTCTTCCTCACACCATCCCGACAATACTCACGATGACTTTACGGTGACACTCCCCAAACCATTCGTCTTACAAGGGGAGTGGGGATGTGCTCTGCTTGAGATCTGTCTCTCGATTTCCAAGGAGGAGATTCGCTACGTGTGCAGCGATCTGATCGAAGACTTCTATGTAAAAAAAACACCTTGTTTCCTGTACTTCGAACGATTCCATCCGGAAGGATCAGTCAGTTTCGATACTACCGTCCGTACTTCTTTCTGGTCCGAGAGAGAGGTCACGCGCATTCGAATATTTAAAAAAAGAAGAGATCTGCAACGCCTGCCTCTAGACTCGAAGCCGATCTACTTCGTGCTGGGATGGGATCCATAAAAATCTACGACGTCGATCAGAAAAAGTGGATGCCTTACGCCCCCAATTTCAAGAAATGGCAGCAACATTTCGTGGATATTTCGGAGGGGCGGGTGAGACCCGATCTCAAGGGGCGTTATGTGGTAGGAAGTGGATCTCGAATCGATTCGACCCAAGATGTGAATCGACCTCGGGTGACCCTGGTGACTCCAGTAGAGATTGCTTAATCGGAACTTAAATGGGAAGGCAAAGTTATAAGAGGAGGCAAACGTAGCACTAGTACGCTCCACAGTCCACCCGGGAAACGTCTCAAAGATCTCCAGAAAGAAAACGGGTATCGACATTACCGACAGAAAATTACGTTTACCTGATGTCTCTCTTTGAAGTTCCTCCGACCGACACGGCCGTGTAGGAACAAGAAGGATCGAATTCCGTCCCATCAATCAGATCAACGACGACACGGTCCTCGAGTTCAACGTCGTACCCCAATCCACCGGATACATGGTTCTGAGTCGCACCAAATTGAGCGTGAAAATGAAGATCAGCAAGTAAGACGGCAGTTCCGTGACGGAAGATGACGTCGTACCTTTGGTCACTCTGCCGTTTCACAGCCTGTTCTCGACGGTACAGTGCGAAATGCAGTAGACGGTCAGTCAGATCGGAACCAATTATCCGTACAAGGTTAACATTGATACGCTTCTGTCGACCATAAAGAGCTACGAGATTGGAATTCCTCGCAACTCTTTGTCAAGGACGAGGCGGTTCGATTTGACGCCCCAGACGCTAAAACGGGTCTTAATAATGCCCTCTTCTCGAGATGGATGCATACTCGCGACGGTGCGATACTGGATCTGGAGGGTCCATTGCTCTTGGATCTCTTTCATCAGGAACGACTGATCTTGAACGGCGTCGGTTTGACTATGAAACTGTGGCCCAGCAAGAACGCTTTTCGGTTGATGTCCAACAGTCCTCAGCCCAACGAGAAGATAAAAATCGTGGACGCCAGTCTCAAAGTAAGCAAACAACGCCCTAATCCCGCTTTAGTCATGCGCGCACAACAGACTGCTGGAACAATTGCCGGCTTTGTACGCGTTTATGAACTCGTCCCTCAAGATTGTCTCCAGGGGAATACAGTTTCAGTGCCGACGACATGTTTCTAGGAGAAGTACCCTCCCAACTCCTTCTGGGTCTGGTTTCCAGCCGCGCCTATGGCGGAGATTATAAGAAGTCTCCCTTTAACATTCAACATTTCGACTGCAACTTCGTGGCACTCTACGTGGACGGTCAGTCCTTACCCGCCAAACCCTTGCAGCCTCAATATGCCGACGGAAATTACATTACCGCTTACCAGACTTTCCTAAGCCTCGGACGCAAAGTATGAATCAACCGAGAAGACTATTCCGTTCCACCTGACGCGTCCGTGATGAGTCAGGTGCATGTGTTTGGGTGTCGGTAGAAGGCGGAACAGCGATACTTTTCCTTTGTTGAAAAAATCAGTCGCTGACGTACTGAAGTGTAAAGTAAAATAACTCGAAGCAGGTGTTCTGTTTTAATTATTGAATGGGACAATAGCAGCACACCTTTTTGGGTTATATCTCATCGACAGGTGCTTTCAAACTCGCGTACTTTTACAATTTTTTTGGTGTTGACCTCATTCTGGTTTTGCACTAAGGACACTTTGCCTTGATATTCACGAGCAAAGTGTCTGATCATACTGTGATAAATTTCCCAATTACTAGCGGCCAGACCACAACCAATACGAAACTGAAAGCCTATACTTTCGTAAGATTCTTTCGAAAGGGATTGCAGACATTGCTTAAACCACAATGAGCGTGAAAACACACGGCGTCCGGTGATTGCCCGTCTGACGATCTGAAAATTCTTATCGTTCCTGGAGTTCCACGGTCCTCGGGAACGGTTAAATTGCGACCTTTCATTTGCTTTCTCGTGGCATAAATGTCTGCTCAGCGAAAGTTCTTGGCAATGTCCTTGGATAGACCATGAGATCGCACGCTTAAACAATTCACTTGATGCACAATAGCTTGAACAGGAAACTTACGGTTATCTCCCAGTTCGTAGATTAAGTCTGTATATTGTTGCTGATGTTCATGCTGTTTTATATCTTTCCTCACTTCGTCGAAATGATTACACGACCATAATGCAGTGATCGGAAAATAAGGGTCGTCGCACATTCTCCCTCGCCGGTGCTTTTCCTTCATTTTTGATCGACGTTTCGCAGCTTCAGAGGAAGATAAACCTTGGTAAATTAATTTGCGATTGTCCCAAAAATGTCGAAATTCAAAATCAAATACTAGAGAATTCGTTTCTTCGTCTGTCAAGTTTGCTGTCCACTTGGTAAATGGATTCAGTGTCTAACGTGTACTCAGTTTTAATTTAGGTCCGTGTATCAAATGTACGTGGACACTGTTATTCATTTAATTAAACGCACTATTAACGTTTGACTCATCCTATACGTCTCCTCTTTCGTCAATTGTGTCTAAAAAAAAAAAGACATCTGTGGTGTGGTCCACGCCTTTTTTTATAATCTAAAAGAATTATTTATTTCGGACTGATCAAAAACTTTGTAAAGAGATCCGGTAAAACTGCCTCGTACCTCTTATTTCATGATTACACATGTTTTAATCCATGCTGTACCTCGTATTTAATCCACTCTAGGTTTTAAAAAGACAACTCAAAATAAAAGGTAAAAACAAATTTATTGTTGAAATGACATGTGAACAGAATAAAAACAAAGTTTAATTTTTTAAAAAAGTTCTTTTCTATTGATTCGTTCAAATTAAAAGTCACACGGGCCTTCTTTCCGCTACACCCCGTCTGGCCACATGAATTCTATTTCTCCGTGCACATAACTTTCACAAATGAATTCTAAGTTCACAAAAGCTCAGTCGGTAGAGCGCTCGCTCCGTGATCGGAAGGTCGTGAGTTCGTATCTCGGCCGCGACTGACCTAGTCGTTAAAATGGGTAGCAACTGTTCCTTCGCCATGCGCTCGGCACTTCGAAGTGAAAGTTGCGGGTCCTTCGGATGAGACCTTAAAAACTGAGGCCCCGTGTCAGCGGCAGACGTTGGCACGATAAAGATCCCTCACTGCTCAATGGCCCTGAGTGCCGAGTAAAGGTCAAAATGTGAAGCCCTTCACCGGCATACGGTGACGTCTCCATATGAGTGAAAAATTCTCGAGAGGGACGTTAAACAATATACAATCAATCAATCAATCACAAATGGATTCGTAACGAACACGTCTCATGACATCGAAGGGAATACGATCGGCCATAGTGACTATCATGATATCCCGGAACAACATGAGACCCTTTCTGTACGATTCGTCTTCAATATCTTGTGATCGCAAACAGAATGTTG